TGTAGTAGTAGTAGTAGTAGTAGTAGTAGTAGTAGTAGTAGTAGTATAGTAGTAGGGATGAAACTGTACTTGACATCGCTTTCTAATCGCCGTTCTGAGTGATGATATGGGATTGTCTGTTTTGATATTTCCGCGGGAGCACATGGTAGTAGTAGTAGAGGTATAAGGCGTGTTAGGAGGAGTACTAATGACATCACAGAAACATAACACTGGTGAAGTTAACATATATATGTTATGAAAAATATATTTCACAACTACTGCATATCATTCCGCGTAAAACGGGTAGTTGTGAAACTCCAATTCCTAACATATTCATATCACTGCTGTTGAACTGAATATAGAATTGAACCACGCGATAAGTAAGAAGAATGCTAAATTAGCGTCGTGCATTTCTGGAGAAGCTGATCTGAACGAAAATGGCACTGCTGCTGCTTCTGCACTATCGTGTTAACCATTTGGGAACTAAAGGCAATGGTTAATGGAATCTAGTGATTCTATCCACAATTATACTCATAAACTCATTAACTAGCTTCGAGCTAAGCTAAGATTCCATACTTGTGCAATCTGTACAACTACACCTGTGGCACAGAGAGGTAACTGCATTCGCCATGAAGTAGACCTGCTGCCAGAAGAATGAGAGAATCGGCCTCAGTCGGGAAACTTCAGTTCCTCATTAGTGATCAATTCACATACGGTATGCCCCATCAGATACACTATTTTAAACCTCTTTAGAGAAACTCGTTAGCTAACACGTGGAAGAAAGTTTTCCAATGACGAATGTTCGCGGTCCGCAAATCTCGAGTCTATCCCCCAAAGGGTATCTTAGTGAGGGGGAAAGCGGTGGTGCAGGAAGTGATAACATAGTGATATTAATTGCACCAAGACTCCTACTAATCACTTTAATGGAGTTTCACGATCACGCGTTTTACGCGAAACGGCGTAGTCAAAAACGTGATATTCGCGAAATGCACATCACAAGTGGAACTCCAATAAGAAGATGGATTAGTGAGCTGACAGTTGCATTATCATAGACCTGTAGCACACTAAGTAGCAGGGCACGATATAATCGCCGTAAGAAAAGTGCGCTAAAACGGCCAACTTGTAAGCATTCCCAGTCTTAGTCATTACTCTCCACCCTATTGCGTATACGTAGTCTTTAATATAATTCGTTACTTTGGGAATTTAAAAATGTGCGTCTACTCTGCCTAGAGCGCGTTGAGGAAATGCAAGATTGCAAGATTTCAAGATTGTCGTCAAACCGTCGGTGATGTGACTTCATCGTTGTACTTTTACTGGAGTTTCTTCACCTTAGTGATATGAAAAACATATTTCACAACTACTGCATATCACCGCGTTTTTCACCGAGTTTTACGCCGCCACTTCACGTAAAACGGGTAATCGTGAAACTCCACTGCAGTAGGGTCGTACTTGCTAGTGACATCATGAGAATATGGCTATTGTTCTTTGAAGTGTAACAGTATTGTTGTTAAAACTTGTTTATTTCTAAACTCAGAACTTTGCTATTCGATCAACTATTCGAATTTTTTTTTCAAAATTCAAAATTTTTTGGTTTATATAATTTTGCGAAAAAACTTTTTTCTTGCCGACTTTTTGGTGATCAGAAAATATAAAAAAATTTCAACCTAAAAATCTAATGTTCGAAGACGTGTGATTGTGACAATATAAAAAAATTTTCAGGAAATTTTTGGGAATTTCTGCTGAGTCTTTTTATTTTTATGAGCTCTGTTAGAAATGTATAAAAATTATGAAAAATTTCCCAAAATTTTTTTCAGAATTTTCATTAAAACGTAGTTGACGATGTTTAAATTTTCCCATACTCAACTCGCCTGTTATTAGTATTGCTTTATAATGACAACAGACACCACTTCAGTGGTGAAATCAAATAGTAGTAGTAAGCTGGCAACTAACACTTCGAGTGGAAGCCAACCTAGTAGTAGTAATAATAACAGCTCTGTAGGGCAGGGCAGTCCTAGGGTAGAGCATTCACCACGCCTTGTTGAGGTAATTATAGTAGTAGTAGTAGTAGTAGTAGTAGTAGTAGTACAGTATAGTAATAATAGTGTAATAATAGTAGTATAGTGATAATAATAGTATAGTAATAATAGTGTAGTAATAATAGTGTAGTAATAGTATAGTAATAGTATAGTAGTAGTAGTTTGTATCGCACTCGAAATCGAGAATCAATTTCATATTATGAAGTTAGGTTTGATTATAAAACAGTGGAGTTTCACGATTACCCGCTTTACGGTGTGAAAGTGAAAAACGCGATATTCGCGGTGATATGGAGTAGTCGTGAAATATAATTTTCATATCACTAGGGTCAAGAAACTCCATCAAATTTCACATGAAAAAATGCATTCTGACGATCTGATGTTAGTAATTTTACGAAATTTTACGATTTTAGTTTTGCTCTATTTAGCTTTGCGAAATAACGTCTCCCCAGAGTTTGATAAAAATAGATAAAATGATGTTACTAATGTGATGAGAATATTGTGAGAAAATTTCAAAATGAAATTCCGTTCCCCGGGAACATTATAGGTTTTTAATGATTTCCTAATCTGAATTCAGATGAAAAAATACGCATATGTTCATTTACATATAAGTTGCTAAAAAAGGAGTTTCACCTTAGTGATATGTGAAAAACATTTTATATGTGATTTTATATTTCTCAGGAGAGCTCTGATGCTGTTATATCACCAGTCGGAGCCGCTCAGGACGCTTGCAGTGGTAGTATGGCTGCTAAGAAAAGCCTCACGGGCTTGGGGAATGGGAAGGAACAGGTAATACTAGTAGTAGTATGGGAAGTTATGTGTGTTGTTGGTGATAACAATGGAGTTTCACGACGTGCAGTGGCGTCGTAAAACTCGGTGAAAAACTAGGCGATATTTGCGCCTTGCAAAACGCGTAAAATATGTTTTTCATATCAGTAGGGTGAACTTCTTGCTGGCTTTCCTATACTGACTATAGCGTGAGGAACTCCTGAGCTCAGCAGCTGAGGAAAGCGATTACATATAATCCTACTCCAACACTGTATAGGAAACTCCTGAGCTCAGCAGCTGAGGAAAGCGATTACATATATTCCTACTCCAACACTGTATAGGAAACTCCTGAGCTCAGCAGCTGAGGAAAGCGATTACATATAATCCTACTCCAACACTGTATAGGAAACTCCTGAGCTCAGCAGCTGAGGAAAGCGATTACATATATTCCTACTCCAACACTGTATAGGAAACTCCTGAACTCAGCTGCTGAGGAAAGCGATTACATATATTCCTACTCCAACACTGTATAGGAAACTCCTGAGCTCAGCAGCTGAGGAAAGCGATTACATATATTCCTACTCCAACACTGTATAGGAAACTCCTGAGCTCAGCCGCTGAGGAAAGTGATTACATATATTCCTACTCCAACACTGTATAGGAAACTCCTGAGCTCAACAGCTGAGGAAAGTGATTACATATATTCCTACTCCAACACTGTATAGGAAACTCCTGAGCTCAACAGCTGAGGAAAGTGATTACATATATTCCTACTCCAACACTGTATAGGAAACTCCTGAGCTCAACAGCTGAGGAAAGCGATTACATATATTCCTACTCCAACACTGTATAGGAAACTCCTGAGCTCAGCAGCTTAGGAAAGCGATTACATATATTCCTACTCCAACACTGTATAGGAAACTCCTGAGCTCAGCAGCTTAGGAAAGCGATTTCATATATTCCTACTCCAACACTGTATAGTAAACTCCTGAGCTCATCAGCTGAGGAAAGCGATTACATATATTCCTACTCCAACACTATATAGGAAACTCCTGAGCTCATCAGCTGAGGAAAGCGATTACATATATTCCTACTCCAACACTATATAGGAAACTCCTGAGCTCATCAGCTGAGGAAAGCGATTACATATATTCCTACTCCAACACTATATAGGAAACTCCTGAGCTCATCAGCTGAGGAAAGCGATTACATATATTCCTACTATTCCAACACAGTTTATTAAAGTCTTTATATTTTCAGAGTAGCGCATCAAGAGTTGCCCAAGCGCGAGCTGAGGCGGCCAGAAGTAGCAGGTCTAAAGTACGCCAACAACGAGGTGCTAGTACTGGACCGCAACAGCTGTCCTCTACTACTGCTGCTGGTGGTGGTCTACAAGGTAGGGGTGAGGGTGAATATAGATTTGCGAGATTTATATATATTTATTGAAGTTTTACGTGAAGCGATATTCGCGGTGATATGCAGTAGTCGTGAAATATGTTTTTCATACCACTAGGGTGAAGAAACTGTAATCTCTTTTTTGTTGAAGTTGGAGTGGTATGAAAATATATTTCACTTTGCGAAAAACGCATGTGAGCAGTGAATAACGCGTAAAACACTTTGTATGTGTTTTTGCGGGATTTCTCCCGTGTAATTCGCCACTTCATACCGCGTTTCTCACATGGAGTATCACGCTAGTTCACTTAGTAAAACGGATAGTCGTGAAACTCTAAAGTTTATATATACTCCACGTAATTTCATTTCGCATTTTTTCGGCGAAAATTTGGTATGTTGATATAACAATTTAGGATTAGCGGAATGTCTCAGAATTACGTTATGAAAATTCTCAGGAATTTTCATATTATCATCAATGCATACAGATGCTCTCACAGATTGCATATTCCCCTTTAGAAATGAGTTTGAGTTTCGATGTGATTTCAGAAAGTTGTGGTACGACGCAGTCGCTGGCAAGGACTAGGACATTAAGCCCGCAAGAAGGTGAAGTCGTGGTTTAGGAGGAATTATATGATATTAGAAGTTCAACTCGGTTTACTACGTGAAGTGGTGAAAATGAAATGAAAATAGTTGGCAAATTACACGGGAGAAATCACGTAAAACGCATACAAAGTGTTTTACGCGTTATTCACTGCCCATATGCGTTTTTTCACCAAGTGAAATCTTAGATGTGTTTTTCATATCACCAGGGTGAAACTCCATTGTATATTCGCATTTACATATCAGTAGTCTTCATTGGAGTTTCTTCACCCTAGTGATATGAAAAAAACACTAGTGAAAAAATATATTTCACGACTACTGCATATCACCGCGAATATCGCCTAGTTTTTCACCGAGTTTTACGACGCCACTTCACGTAAAACGGGTGATCGTGAAACTCCATTATTATTATCTATCGGAAAATTTGTATTTGTAAACGTCATTGATGGAGTTTCTTCACCCTAGTGATGTGAAAAACATTAGTGAAACCATGCATATCGCGAATATCGCGTTTTTCACTTCCCGTAAAACGAGTGAAACTCCAATGAAATCATAAAAATATGTATTTGTGATTTATAATTATATGTTTGATATTCGAGTTTCTTCACCCTAGTGATATGAAAAAAACACTAGTGAAAAAATATATTTCACGACTACTGCATATCACCGCGAATATCGCCTAGTTTTTCACCGAGTTTTACGACGCCACTTCACGTAAAACGGGTGATCGTGAAACTCCATTATTATTATCTATCGGAAAATTTGTATTTGTAAACGTCATTGATGGAGTTTCTTCACCCTAGTGATGTGAAAAACATTAGTGAAACCATGCATATCGCGAATATCGCGTTTTTCACTTCCCGTAAAACGAGTGAAACTCCAATGAAATCATAAAAATATGTATTTGTGATTTATAATTATATGTTTGATATTCGAGTTTCTTCACCCTAGTGATATGAAAAAAACACTAGTGAAAAAATATATTTCACGACTACTCCATATCACCGCGAATATCGCGTTTTTCACTACGGGTTGTGAAATTTCATTGGAACTTGAGAGGACTTCTCCTCAGGGGATCCGGCAGAATCATCCGTGGTGAAACCAGCGGTAGAATCACGCCGATGGTCGGACATGACGAGTGATGAAGATTCCGAACCGATAGCGCCGAAACTGCGCAAGTTCGATCCTCCCAAGCGGTCGTTTTCGAGTGTCGTTACTGGCGGGCTTATGAAGAAAACATCTTGTGAAGTGAATAAGGTTAATCGTCCTGGAAGTCCTCCAGCGCAACAAGGCTCGGCTGTTGCTACTGTTGTTGGAGCTAAGGGCAAAACTACAAGGATTACATGTAGGTATTTCTGGTTAAGGTTATATGATTCACGTTATTGTTGTCGTTGTTGTTATTGTTGTTGTATATGTTGTTGTATATGTTGTTGTATATGTTGTTGTATATGTTGTTGTTGTTGTATATGTTGTTGTATATGTTGTTGTTGTTGTATATGTTGTTGTATATGTTGTTGTTGTTGTATATGTTGTTGTTGTATATGTTGTTGTTGTTGTATATGTTGTTGTTGTATATGTTGTTGTATATGTTGTTGTTGTATATGTTGTTGTATATGTTGTTGTTGTATATGTTGTTGTTGTTGTTGTTGTTGTTGTTGTTGTTGTTGTATATGTTGTTGTTGTTGTTGTTGTTGTATATGTTGTTGTTGTATATGTTGTTGTATATGTTGTTGTATATGTTGTTGTTGTTGTATATGCTGTTGTATATGTTGTTGTTGTATATGTTGTTGTTGTATATGTTGTTGTATATGTTGTTGTTGTATATGTTGTTGTTGTATATGTTGTTGTTGTATATGTTGTTGTTGTTGTTGTTGTTGTTGTTGTTGTATATGTTG